TCCTGCTGGTGACATAACTCGAATTATATTTTGTACATGAATATTAATGTCAGTCACCTACGCTAACACAGTGGTATCATCATAATGTAGGACACAAAGCACAGAAGAGTTTGACTTTCACCGCATCTGTATTTTTTAGAAGACTTTGACCAGTACATATGACTGTCCGACTCCATATACAGACTCTAATCAACTATTACAGGCATTGTTACTGTCAGAGTAATTTTGTTGTCCTTTTGTTTTCCTAAGTCTTCAGAAGTACGTCCGGGAGCAGATCCTGCTGGCGGTGGCCGTCATCGTGAAGCGGGGATTTCTGGACAAATCTATCAACTGTAAAAGCATTTTTCTTGAAGTTGGACAGCTCATCAGCAGCGGGAACCCAACAGTGGTGAGAAAAAAACACAATCAAGTATAATGAGTCGAAATACTGAAGGAAGAAAGTTAAGTGGATACTGTATCTCATGCACTTACACAAAAGAAGCTCAAGTGAACTCCTTGTCATTGTGACAACCAAATGTGACCTCTGCATTTAACCCATCACAAAAGTTAACAGTGGGCAGCTTTTTGAGCACCTGGGGAGCAATGCTATGCTCAGAGCACCTCAGTGGTAACTTGTCAACTGGCAGATTTGAACCTGCAACCTTCCAAACCCAAGTCCGCTTCCTTAACCACTAAGCCACCATGTCAGCGGAACGTCACATGATTCTGACCTCGGTCTTGCTACCTAATTATCTTGTGCAGTAATTACGCTCTTCACACTCAGTGATTGTCACTGTCAGGAACCACGTGTCGAAATTTCTATCCTGAGAGATGCTGAACAGGACAGAAAGATAAATTCAGAACTGTCAACGAGTTCGCTTCCACACTAAAAGCTACCCATTTACCCATAATTCAGTTTGACAGAGACACCTAAGCTTGTGGAGTTGGCTGCAGGGATAAAACCATTGAATCAGTGATTTTGTACAAAAAACTTTAACTTATTCTGGGTTTTGTGGATGGCATTTGCAGCCTAGTTGCAGAATATATATTTTCTCCGTCGTGGGAAGTGGATCATGTTACACCCTAGTGGGTCTGAAAATAAAGAAATGACACAAAGGCAGTGCTGGGAGAGAAGCTACAGGCATGTTTCTGTGGTTTGAGGGGAGGTTTGAGGGCCTGTTTTTCCTTGCCCATGCACGCAAATCAGTGTTGTGTATAAATTGTGTCAAAGTCCATTTCAGTGATGGCATATTTTGGTGGCTTTCGTGCGTGACTCTATGGAAAAAAAAAAGATTAGGACGAGTCATAGCCACAGAAACTCGATATATGAGCTGTGCTGCTGCATGTGATCTGGCAGATCAACTGGAGACTTTTTTTATTGTCACCTTCTATCATAAACAAATGGAATGTCACCGGTAAGTCCAGCAGGGGGCGGCGTTTCATCGCTACCGTCAAAATAAGAAAAGGTCAACTGTGCAGTGGTCACAGTCAAGGTCAGGACAACATATGTTTTACATATTGTAGAAAAAGATATTAAGATATTAAACTTACATTTATGCTACATGTTAAAAAGATCTAGATTTAGAACCTCTAAGAAATTCTCTGAAATTTCACTCTCTGTTTAAAGTCAAACCTCTCTTGCTTCCCTCTCCTGCAGCAAACACTGGCCTGCTCTATCTTGACAGCCCTTCTTAGTGAGTTTTCCAGCTCCAGTAAAACAAGCAGCATCGGCCTCAGCATGGAATTCCATGGCAGTTGCAAGCGTCTGTTTCAGGTCGGTAGAAGTTGTCCGTATATGAAAAAGTAACCGAAACGCTACGTTTTCACCGTGAAATTCAACTGTTGTTTTTCATCCTTCCCTGTAGGAGGAGAGCCTGCGTCAGATCTTCATGTTGACGATGGAGGTGCTGCAGGAGTTCAGCCGCAGAGAAAACCTCAACGCTCAAATGTCCTCGGTCTTCCAGCGCTACCTGGCTCTGGCCAACCAGGTCCTCAGCTGGAACTTCCTGCCGCCAAATCATATCCTTTTATTGTCAGTGACAGGCTGGCATTACCCACGTGCCCTAAAACTGACCCATCACTGATGTGAGGACTCAGGTCAGTTCATGTTACACGTTTCGTCAAAGTGCAGTTTTTGGTTTCTCTCTCCTGTGGTTGTCACTTGTTTGTGAAGATGTATCTTTTGCCAAATATGTTTGAATGATTTTTTGACATAGAAGGTGTTAAGGTGTTAGACTTCGCGCACAATTTTCCCCTCATTTAAATGCAGTCCAAAATTAACTCTCTTAAAAGATTAATATGATAAAGACTTGTGATCTTTTTGAACCCCATGACCTGAAAATCCACTGCTTTTCACAAGATGCGGGGGTGCAGCTTGTCTGGTAAATATGGCTTCTTTCTTGTTGACCGGAAAATGGAATGACGTACTTCTTTTACTGAATGGCCTTGAATGCTCACTCACACAAGTTCCATTTAGGAACAAATTCTGAGAACTGTGACAGAGGACCGCATTTTTAGTCCAGCTCTGGATGTCGGTGAATAAAAAAAGGGGTAAAGGAGCTGAGAGTAGGGATGGCGTAGTACAACTTTTTCATGTCCAATACTGATACTGCAACGGAGTATCAGCTGATAGTGACATCAATCTGATATTTTCTTTTCTCCTCCAGCATGGAGGGGCTGCTCTTGTTGTAGTGTCTCTGTTAAGTTGAGCATTTGGGCTTAGTTGTTTTGTTTTGGGGTATTTTTTTTATATTGGATCCTGCACTTTTGTCCAATTTTGGACTGATACTGATCAGACCCGAGTATCAGATTGAGCCATCCCTAGATGAGTGAAAAGAAGAGATGTTGTCGGTATAAACATCGGTCTTATACTACCTCTTGGCTTTTGTTGCAGAAGATGCAGGTAGTAAATACCTCCCGGTTATGTCTTGCAAAATCTGTTTAATTTTGGTCAGCTGGTATAAAAGTCCAGTGTTGTCATTGAGATGACGTGTTAAACCTCTGTCTGTAAAAAGGAGAAAAAAAGAGATTGAAATTCCATCTCAGATAGTTAAGTTATCATTAGAACAATTTTTAGCTTGAGTGAATGCGCATGTGTGTGATCGCTGTAGAATATGTACTGCCAAGGAATGCCAGTCTGTCAGTCAGTTTTGCTTTGTACTTCAACGCTTGCCCTTACGTCCATATTATCTTTGCAGTTGGCCGCATTGTTGAGTGAACATAGGCACTGTGCTCGTGTATGAAAGGAGGTGTCGGTCCATGTGTGTGTATGTGTGTGTGTCCAGGCTCATTATGCTCTTAAATCCCACCCAGCCTGGCATCCTCTCTGTCTGTCTGAACAGATCTGGAGTGGCGCTTGCTGCCACCCAGGGCCGTGTATCACTTTCAAAGAGGTGTCTGTGCGTCCATTCCGCCAGCGCAGACAACCCCGCCTTGGCTTGTTGAGGCTCCCCTTGGTATGCCAGGCATGTCTGATTCGATGTGGCATCAAAGATGGACATTTTTCACACCCGGTGTGCATGCATGTGTGTGTGGTTCTGTGTGTACTCTTGTACTCTGTAAGCATCACTGTTTTAGAGCGGGGTGTGGATGAGAGGCCATTTGCTCTACATGCGAAGGGTGTTTTGCTACGAGGTTGAATGAGGTTAAAAATGATGGAAATTCGTCCTGTTTTGAATGCATCCGACAGAAGGGAATATGAATATCTGACATTCTTGAACCAAAGATTTTACATTTTCATATTTTAATCTTTTTTTTTTATTTTAATTTTTTTTCTAAACACAATGCTCAGGATCTTTTAAAGGTATTTAAATGTCACATTCAAAGAATTTCTGGTGTAATAGTTGTCATTTTTGTCAGATTAAACTTTGGCAACTTTGCCTTTTGAAGGACGCAAAGTAGCGAAGTGAGTCACGGGTCATGGAAAATATGCATGTATTTTGCAGGGGGAAATCATTGTCCCCAAAATGTGCCGCTTTCAAGGCGAGTTGTTGTGATATTCGTTGGCTTAAGAGAACGATTGAGATTGCTTGCTAAAAGCAAAACACCATGGCATCGCTGTCTGCCTTCACTGCTGAACATGTGACAGGACAGACAGATTTAAACCTTCAGTTTAAAAACCTCCTTATAATCTACTGCTTCACGTTAGATTTAAATGTGTCCGTTTGGACCTGATTTCTTTCCTCTTAAAAAAAACCACTATATGATTTTGAATGACTGAAAGGCGCAGCCAGCTCTCTGATTTATGAACAATGTGAGGGACTTGTTCCATGTGAATAAAGCTGTTGCTCTCTGGTTTCCCACTGTTGAGTGGCAGAAAATGCTGAATGAGCTTCAGTCAGGCAATAGAAATAGCATATAAATGCTTGAATCAAGTGGCGTTCTCCATGAAATCCTGCGTGCAACAAGTGTCTGGTCGGCTGTTGAAAAGGAGAACAGATTGATGAAGACCACTGGGAGGCCAGGCTGAGTGCGGCCGCCTGTCGGCCAGTGTCACCGCACGCCCCCCGTTTGATGCTCGGTGAACGTGTGCCAGCTCCAGTATCTGGGGGCTTCCTCGTAATTGCGTGGCTGACAGCGGCTGCCTTTTTAGCCACATGAACACACTTGCTTTCCTACCGCCTCAAAGACGCTGTTTAAAAGAGCTGCCCTCCTTAGAGTGACCCGGCGGCATGCGTCTCATCTGTCTGTCTTAACCTCGGCTCTTCAGCTCTGGTGTCATCTGCTGCAGGCACGCTCCCCGGCCGTCGCTGCAACACTGTGTCACTCCACACGGGGCTTGACTTCAGTCAGGGTCGCGGTCGTGCCCCCGGGCTGCAGCAGCGGTCAGGTGTTGTAAATGGCTGACGGAGCTGACAGATAGATCACCGTCCAGTCGCATGATTCCACTACACTGATAGGAGCTTTTGTGGACTTTGATGGCGTTTGTTTTTTTTCTGGCAGATCCTTAAAAGAGTCTTTGGTGTTAAGAACAACTTTCTTTTTTAAATTACAAAAAGGGAATTCATACATACATTTGAAAGTCAAATTTCTTTTGCCTGATTGTAAATTGTAAATTGTAATTCATTTTTTATATATACAATATTGTGCTTCTGGTACTGAGCTGTGCAGACACATGCTTCAGTCACAAATGCAGTTGCGACTTTAAACTGATTTAATTGATTTTTTCTTTCTCTTCCAATCCAATAAGTATTATTGGAAACAAATAAATGCTATAAAAACACACTGAACCTAAAAACTACTGGAAACAATGTCCCTTTAGATCTGGATTTTAATTTTAAAATTCATCAGACGTCTTGGGTTTACCTGGCTATTAGCAGAAGGAACTACATTAGTCAGTGTGTTGGCCGCTCTTGTAGAGTGTGTGTGTGTAGATTTCATGCTTCATCATCTCAGCAAAACTCCAGTTCTTTCACATTAGGACACTGACAGGTGTCTCCTGTCCATCTCTCTTCCAGTTGAGCAGGTTATTTTCAGTGTTCCACTCCACACTTTGTTATAACGGTGGCAGAAATGTCATTTCTATGTCCTTGGTGGGTGAATTAGTTGAATTATTTTCTAAGAGAAATGCTAGAAAATGTTTAAAAAAAGTAACATTTAACTAATATTTCTGTTTAATCATACGTCCCCAGACATAGCTGGACACACTTATGTATTATTAACAATCAGGATTCAAGATTTCCAGATATGTAGTCCAAAAGAATTGGTGTCGTTATAAAGCAAATAACAAAAAAATTTAAAAGCAGAGATAAATAATTTAAAACCAAATCCCCATTAAGTCATTTGTAGGCTTAATTAAAACCGCCAGCCACTAATTTATTCATCGAATTGTGACAGATTAATTGTCCAGTCTCTGCAGCTCTACTGAGGTGTAAGAACAGCAGCCGCGGCCGGGGAGTTATTCTTGTTCTGAGGAGATGACTGTGAGTCCAACACTTGCTTTACCCTGGCTTAGTTTTCTCATTAGCTGTTCAGGGGTCAATTTATGGGCATGTTGCCCCCTCAGGTTAAGGTTAGGATTAGGGGTGTGTAAACCGATGCTGGATGTTTGCCTTGGCCCTGACCTGTACGGAGAATCTTCAGCTACCGCTGTCTAAACACAGACGCGGTGTATATACAGACGGCCTGAATACTGATGGACATTCAGCTGATGGACGTTAATCTTCTTCATGACATGTCCTTTATGTTCCTGTCCATTACACCGCTGCAGCGCTGCCGCCTCTTCCATACTGAGGGAGAGTTTTTTTGGAATTTAGATTCTCTGTTGTTTCCTTGTCAAGTTTACCAAGAACCTCAACGTTACTCTACTTTACATTTTGTTAGGTTACATTCATCATCTTTAGGTGGTGGATAATAGTTCTGGTTTAGTAGTTCAATGTTGTTGAATAATGCCTTATCTAGAGGCTCTAAAACAGGGGCCACCATCTATATTTGTTGGAGAAACATAATTAATTAAATAATTAAATTAAATAATTTTTAACAGACACCTCGGAGACCAGACAGTCAAAAACAAAAGAAAAATTACATTTTTTGTGTAGCATAATAATTTGATGTTTATTTTGGAACCCTGTGGTGAGCCAGATTGGATGGTTTGGCAGGCCGGATTATTCCAACAAGTTGGTTTAAAAACTTGAAACAGAAGATTTTTTTTCATTCAAATCCAGTAGTTGTGTCACGTAGGGCACCCAGCTATAAAACTGTGCTAATTTCACAGTCCAGATGATCCATGGATCAGAAGTAAATGTATATAGGCTGTCATATTCACAAAGATAAAAAAATTAAAAACAGCAGGGACATTCCAATTCATACACCACAGGTTAACATTGTCATTCTTCATCCACACATACTATCCAAGCCCGTAATCTCCATTCATATTAAATACTGCAACTTTTCCTTATTTATTAACTACTCCTTAAACACCTCCCAAATTCTCATCTTGATCCTCAAAACACACTTTCAGCCTTATTTCTTATTCTGACCTTCCAAACCTTTAAAACTTTGATCTTATTTTTGTTTTAAAA